ACTTTTAATTATTATTTTAAACGTAATTTAACTTATGAGAGAACTTATGAGAGAACTTATGATACATGAATGAAATGGTTTTTATTGTTTGTTTAGTTTAATGTGAACACTTAAACATGTATCTTATTATAATTTATGTATTTTTACTTATGTGAAATTATTCTTTATTTGTAGAGAATCGATTGTTAGCGACCATATGATATTATATATGAATAAAAGATAGATACATGGTGCAAACTCGCATACTCATCTCTTCGCCCTTAGGTTAACCGATGTGTTTCGTACAGTAACATTGGCTGCTTTTTTTTTTTTGGAAATCACCTGTAGTCCACCAAAGAACATTTCTAAGATTTCCATCAATTGGTCATTACCATAAAATTTGCAAAATAAGGGGATCACTGCATACAATCTATTTTAGGAAAAATAAAGGGGCTCTGGATCTTTATAATAGATCGAAAACCCTGAAATTTCCAGAGGAAGTTGAAACTACATGCGAGTCATGAATATTGTTTGAAACGTTCACAAAGATTGTGAAGGCCTCTTAAAAGAAAAACTACAGACCACATCAAACTCATTTATGTTTTACTTTGTATTGTTGTTTTACACTCACTTCATCAGGACCCTCGCCCACATTTGACTATTTGATATCCCTGTTGTACATGCAATTGTTCGCGTGTATCTTGATGTCCTTCGACAACTTCCCAGGTGTCGTTTTAATCATTTACATTTGTGTTTGAAATGGAACTAAAATCATTGAGAACGGAGAAAATCTTAAACGTTTTTACCCCATCCTCCTCCCCTTCCCCAACCCCAAACTGCATTATAAAAGTGGCATGTTTTTCTAGATTTTAAAATAAGCTCGGGATATAAAATCGGTATCCCCACATATATATTGAGTGTCATCTCTATGTCTGATCGACCGTTTGGGAAGTGCCGCGTACTGTCTCCGTATTTCGTGGATTCATTTCCCGAACCTGACATTCATTAAACGCACGGTGGTATCTTGGTAGAAGCAGAAGTTGTTTATCTTTTCGGAGTACCTAGTTCGTCCTATTTGTCATCTTTTTGTCTGGGCCCTGGGTTTGTATTTGTCTCGTGATTTTCCTCATTTTTGACTGTCGCTTCATTTGTCGCCATTTTCCGCGACAAAATTAAATAAAACTTAGTTGAGTGATACAAGGAGTTGAAAGTGTTCAGAGAGGGCTGGTAGGGTTATCCAACTCTGATATATTTATTTATGTAGTTAATAGTGGTGAAACCTCACTCTCTTGATACGAAAGGGGGTAAACCGAAGATCTAATAAATAGAAGGTAAATCAAGTGACAAAAACAAAACCGGGGACTAGAACAGCACAGAATGACAATGGACAAACAAACACCGAAATCTAAAAACAAATAAAATACCCGGACCCGTAAAACGAAAAGAGGGGACGAGGGTAAGGACTCAGAAATTGCAATAAGCACGTGTATGAACTCCAAGCACTGCGACAATTATCCCGCATGAGAAGAATAATCAGAATCTAAACGGATAACCAAAAATATTATCGAGAACGGAGTTAATCTTTTTGAGAAAATTTATCCATACACTTATGACAGATGCATTGTCGGAATAATGAGCTGTCGGAAAATGGGATGTCGGAATAATGGGATGTCGGAGTAATGGGCTGTCGGACTAACGGGATGTCACCGACTAGCCGAATCATAAATCCTAGCCTCCTTACTTTTATGATGATTTAATCCGAAATTAAGCTTATCAGGTAAAAAACCAACGCTTTGGTTTAGGACTAGAGTTGAAAAGTAGCATTTGCTAACAATCTATGCAAAATAGTAAGACGTATATTCCCGAGAGTATAATGCGCAAAAATAGGATTGTTATGTACTCTTTAACTTCGTTAGGTGGTATATCGTATCCATGCACCTACCTGTTATAGCAGATATGATCGACGTGCACTACAGCGGAATTACGGCTTCAGTTGTTATAGTACACACAAAAAATAATTGGGCTAATTTGGTCTCTGCTGCATAGTTTATTGCCTTGGCAATAATATCCCACATCTTTTTATTAAAAAAAAAGTCGTAAATCTTGAATATTCTGTAATCAATTTATGAAGCTTGATTGAGACGTAGATTCTGTTATCTTTTCTTCTAGATCTATTTCACAAATTAACCGCTGAAGTCAGGGATTCGGAATATGGCAGTTATATATTTTCTCAGTTTGTATATAATTCGAGGCATTATCGAACTATGTCAGCCTATTGGACTTTCATCTATAAAATTCCCTTCAATTAAATATCTAAATGAGATAACATAGGAATAACTTGGAGTGTATACTTGTACATGTAAAAAAAAAAAAAGAAATCAACAGCAATATTTGAAGAAGATGATACTGATGGTCCAGTGACATATATAACATGGATGTCGGAACAGAACTTGAAATTGACAATAAGCATTAATAGAAAGGTCGCTTTTACAAGGTAGTCACGCTTAGTTGTAATTTCGCGTGCTATTTCACAAGGTTCACATTATAGTTATACAATATAACTAACGATTGTGATGACGAATTTCTTAAACTGTTCTAGAACAATCTAATTGAAATATAAATCTGTGATTTTACTATTTTCATAACTTCGACGAAGCAAACCAGGTTAGATATAGTTCTGGACTGATATGCATAAAACCATTTTAGTTACGATAACCTATTGTAGTATTAATTTATCGTAGAACATGTAGAAAAATCCGCCCGTCACAGTCGGAATAAATCTTAAGTAGCTTTATGCATACGGGCCCTGAATTTGAATCAGATTGGTTCTGTAGGTTTCACTCTTATTTTCAAAATATTTATTTTAAATTGCGACTATTTATAGTTCCGTAACTTTCTATCTGTATAAACCAACAATCGACACGTGCATATATTTTGGTGAAATAAATATTCAGTATATGTTTCAAAATGTCCATAATTATTGACAACCAGTACATACTTACATTTTCCAAATTTTACCAATGAAAAATATCTAAATAAATTTTATTCATAAACAAGTGGTAGTAAAATTGACTACACGTATGAGTTTAGTAATGTACAGTGTATCACTGTCGGACTCAAGACACAAATAAAAATGAACACGTGATGTATATTATACCTGATAATTTTAAAATATAAAGTTCCAAATTACCGGCCATGTACACTGATCTATACGTTCAGCAGTAAAGCGATGCATGAACCTGCATTACGTGTAATAAGAGTTTCTAAGACCGACTGGAAATCGCTTGAATACCTGGAAGTATCACTTCACAATACCTCTGGCAATAACTCCATTAGCCATGCTGATGGTCAAATTAGGGAATTAAATAAATGTATTATATAAAAACTGGGACATAATATATTGTATAATAGTCCCAGATAAAAGAATTATGAACAAATTAGATTATTGAAAACAATTTTACACGGAATACCTCTAGTTAATTATGACTTTAAACTATGAGAGAATCCATAAAAGAAATTGCACTAAAATAATTCCTCTATATTTACTTGTTTCATAAATTTAGTTAAAACAAAACAGTTTAAAAATGACAGATCATAGTTATTTAAAAAATTTAGATATCCAATCGGCAATCCTTTCCGATTCTTAAACTGTTTTAAAAATTGTTCCTTTTCAAGGTACTAGTAGTTAAAAAAAAGTTTGCCGATGTCTGGTACAATTCTTTTTTTAGGATCCGTGAATATGTGTATGCGTTTGTCATTATCTTGTCGGGTTAAACAACCGTACGATTGACTCCCTGCTTGTTTAAGTACTTTTTGGTTTAAAGAAATCACGTGTTTTTTTTTACCCGTGAAGCCGTCAGGATGGCTACTTTTAGAGAATTGATATTCTGAATTTAAGATCGTATATTGAAGAATGCGTAGTGTATATAAAGATGAAAAAGACGTTTATACAAATGAAAAATTTAATGATGGAATGACAATGACATTTACACATAGATACCATGGCGTTACATAAAGTCAGCGCTAACGCGTAAAGGGACATGTATAATTCCCGCGGTACTATGATAGTTTCTACTTATCCTCAAAGTTATGCATACACATGTTTATGGATTACAGCTTAGTAGTAAAAAGAAGATTTACCTTCACCAGTACAAAGAGTTTCAATCAAAATATATTCGTTGTAATTAAACAGATATATCATGTTATGGAGGGATCTTTGCGAAAAATACCAGTCTTGGGACCAAATTTCCCTCACCTAACGGCTCGGGAAATTTCACAGTTCCTTGACTGGTATTTATCGCAAATACCCCTCCATAACATGATATATCTGTTCAAAACTCCGACCCGGAATATGTACAGAATGTATCAACAAGGAAATTGCATACACATATAGAAAACACAATGAATTGTGCAAGCACACCATTAAATGTTCTTAAAAAAATGAAATATGTATTGAATAGAAATGATCTTGCTCGTATAATTAAACTTAACATTTAATAGACCAATTATAGAATATGCATGTGCGTTATGGGATAGTTGTACTCAACAAGATTTTAATGATTTAGAACATGTTAAGTTTGAAGTAGGAAGAATAGTAACTGGGTTGCCCGTGTATGTTAGTCGGGAAGCTACATATTTCGAAACAGGCTGGAAATTGCTAGTAGACAGAGAAAGTCAAGAAAGCTCAATGTGTTATATTTTCTACATAACGAGACTGCCCTTGATTATCTCTGCGATTTAATGCTACCACTTGCTGGTCAAATATCTAATTATGATTTGCGAAATAGTAACAACTATGTAGTACCCCGTTAAAGACTAGATATAACCAGAACATCTTTTTTCCCCCATCTACTACAATTGAATGGAATCGTCTAAACCCCGACATACGGACTTCCAGAAATATAAATACAGCCACCCTCCTACTTTAATTGTGATGTTAGAAAACTCCCGCATGCAGCTGTAGCCATTCTAATTTCAATATTTGCATATTACTATCAAAATTTAAAAAACCAAAACATATCTATGTTTCAACAGTTTATTAATACAAGGTTTTCATAACTTATTATAAATCATTTAAGGTTGCTCAAAACATTCAATCTGATACTATTTTCTGCATATTTGTATCTATATTAGGAATATGAAGAACCAACACAATATCTATTGCTTCCATTTAAAAGTACATTCTATTCTAATAGCATACTATAACCACCTAGGCCTATTTTAATAGCATAAGTTTGAACCCTAAGGCGTATTCTAATATCATAGTGTTACCCATATTTTGTTTATGGCTCCTTTTGCGCCTTTTTCTTGCAGACATAGTTGAATTTAAAATTACAATCCAGTTGTTTTTGCCAGTCATATAGTATATATGTTGCTAAACAATTCCCATGGTCAGGATGACCTTTCCCTATAGCTATATAACTTAGTCGCAATGCTATTTCTGGAACTTCTCCATGGTTATTTCCCCAATACCATTTGTCTTTGTCTTTGTCTCTGTATCCACTTGTCCAGATATAATGAGTTCTTATCTGTAATTGATAAAAATTTAAATGTAAGAACAAATGTATCATTAACACTTTCTCTCCTGATTTTATTTTTTTCGCGGGATTCCCTGGCCGAAATTTATTTACACGAGCCTTTAACGGTTTGCCTAACCGGAATTAATTTAACATGTGCTACAGCAAAAACGATCTCGTAGTTTTGGTCACTGAAATCTCAGGAACCGTAGCGAAGAATGCGGTCAAACTTTGATAAAATGTAGATTTTAAAATAACACAGGTTTTATTGTCCATAAACTTTTCATAGAGTAATAAGCAGTTTACCTTTAAAACGTGTGTTAATAAAGTAGGTTAATTGAGTCGGAAGATAATTTTTGGCATTGTGTATCGTATATCGCTTTGACTTACATTCAGGCAAATTTGCTATGCAAACGAGTGTTTCAAAATGCTATTTCTATGGACACTGAATTATTTTCCTTCAAAAACCGTTTCCGTTTTCGTTTTCTTGGCAAAAAAAACTTGTAAATCTACACTGTCGTTCACGTAGATTTTGGCCGCCATTTGTTTACGGTTTGGAAAGAATAAAGATAACTCGAGCTCGATAACGGACAATAACCCTTCCAGACGAGTTATATAATATTCCGCACGTTGATGGGCCAATTAAAAATAAATTTTAACTGCAGTAATAATTGATGGGACTTCTTTACTTTATGACTTCACGCCAGTAATGCCTTTTAAAATTCTTCCACAAGTGAATGAGATGAAGCTTTCCAATATAAATCTCAAATATAAAACAAAAGCAAAGAGCAAATGAAGCCAAGAAGTGCATTTTTTAAAATTAGTCCATGAAATTTCCAATGAATGTGATCTGTGTCATGGGGCTAGTATAATATAAAAAACATTTAAACATAAATAAATGTACTACAGAGAAGCAAACATTCAGCTGGTTCTCAAGAAAAAAAGCCTACTGAAAAAAAAATTGACTGAAATAAAAAAATCTTAACTATATAGTCAACATTTATGATGTATAAGACAAAATAATATTGATAACTACATAGACTAATGTTTCTTATAGCAACACAAATAAATACCAAAGGCTGACAATTCAAGTTTTTTTTATAATTTCAACTAAAGTTAAATTAATTAATCACATGCAATAGAATTCAAGAAGATGATACTAATGATATGCAAACAACTACTGGGTACACAATTATTGATACTCGTGATATGCACACAGGCAGCTGCAAGTCACTGAAAACTATTGTCAAAAAAGGAAAAGGATAGACATTTGAAATATATGTTTTACTGCAGAATACTTCAGTTTTAGAATACATTTATGGAAAGCTACATCAGTAAGTAGGTGAGCTGATAATGTGTGATAACATTTGGAAGCAGTGAAATTTGTTTTATTTTTAGTTTATTATGATGGGGTGAATGGGAGGATTCATATCAAAAATCAATTTTTAAATTGAGTGAGAATAATAGAAACAGATTTCTTTTTTTTATTTTCTGTTTATATTGTTGGGTTGAATGGGAGGGTCTGCCAAAAAAATAAATAGAATTACTTGAGTGAGGTTGTTATATACTATTTCCAGTCTATTGATTAATCTATTGTTTGCCTTACATCCAACAGCAAGTATTACTTACATATAAGCCTAGATATTAATATGGTATGAAGATACCTGCTTAAATGTACTAGTCCAATAAACAGTTTAAATTTGACAAGCTGGCTCACAAGGTAACAGTCACAAGAAGACACTACTCTGGTCCAATTATTCCGACTCCAAATTGATCAGTATTTTCTCTTACTCCTTACTGCTATATCTTGGCTTCTGAGGGAAGCAGCAAATACCATTTTGAAGTCTTTTTTTACACAAAAGATGTGTTTTTCTAGTGTCAAAAATGGTAGTTTATATTAGCATAAACCAAGTGAAAAATTTTCAAAAATGTGGCAATATTTGCATATCAAATGCATAAATGAACACGACATCTAGGATATAGTAGCGATATACATGTGTTATATCCAGAACACTCAGTAGACCCCAAAACCTCTTGCCAAAGAAAATGTGCAACCTCCAAAAAAGTGTGGGAACAGGCCTTGATCTGGATATCCATTTACATGTACAATTAAGATTTATGCAGTATTTATTTATAGAGATGCCAGTTTAACGTTATTTGGCCGCCATTTTGTTTTCCGGTGACTGATAGCACTGGAAAATGACCATTGTTATTGTCAGATTTCCCCCTTTTGCTAATCTGTTATCTTTCTTATGTAGCATTTCTTTTGTAATAAATTATTATAATTTCTTTTCCTCTCTTTGTTTTTACTAAACATCGTTTCGTTTGTATTTTATCGAGTCGAAATAAAACCTACGTGAACGACTTTTTGAACTGCGCGGCACGGTTTTTTTTCTGGGGATGTCTAGTTTGGAGTCAAAAATAAATATGTTCCTGACGTTATACGTTTATATAATTATTATCCAAATGAAAGCGGAGATTCCCATCTACTGCAAAAACGAGGTCGCTTTCCGGTTCCTGTTTACGCTCACCAGCAAAAGAATTTGACAAAACTTCAAAGATAATTTTCAAGTAGAAATATTGAGATTTTTTTAAAACGACTACGATTTTTAAATTCCTCGATGGCATATTAGTCTATTTAAAGTTATTTTAAAACGATTTATAACCAGGAACATATTTATTTTCAGGCATTTTTAACTGCCCCTCAACATGACAGAGCAGTGTCAACAGACATCGTTCGAAATCAGCGATCGTGTTAATATCGGTTAGCATAAATATAATAACCGTATATCCGAGATTGGTTTAATTAAAATTTAAGGTTATTCTATATGTTTCTAGCGTTTTACTTGCATGCAATTGTAGATGAACATGAATTGTAAGACTCCACCCTTTTATAATTTTCAATAAAGCAAATCAAATTATGTCAAAATTGTCATAATATTAAATAAATGAGAAAAAGTAAATGTGACCCAACCTTTCTTAGTACCAAAAAACCTATTGAACTTTAAATATCAACTTCTTTTAAAGACTTTTTTAATTTAAATTCAGGATCCCCATCTCCTGTGGCCCAACTGATAGAAGAGACAGATGTTTGGAATTATTTATCCTGCATGGGAGTTGATAGACATATGATTCATTCTCTGCTCATCAATTGCATGTATACCGGTTAGTATTATATATAGTAAGATTAACCACATTTCATTGTAAATCCACCAGTAATTTGCATTTCGTTGTCGGATTTATCAGTCGGTATTAAAATGACAGGATTATACTGAAAACATTATCAGCTTCAAATATATATATATATATATATATATATATATTGTATATTTATAATCAATATAACAATTTTCATCACATGAAACATTTTGATATTTGCAAAATTTAACTCGATGAAAAAATGCTTTCACTATAAAGACGAGACAGATTCCATGAAAAGAAAAGAGCAATTAATACTGTACTATTCAACATCTCTTTTATTTTTTAAATTTACTGGTATTTAGTAATACATTTGTTATATGCAGATTCATTACGTCATATATAAATGTGTAAACATACACAATTTTTCAACATGTTAACTAGAACTGTTTCTTTGTGGTCTCTCTGTTTTTTTTCAGTATATGATCTCTGCACATTGCTGGTCAGTGGTGAGATGGATTGAAGACATCGCGGGACGATTGTGGTCCCTATGGAACAATACTTTGATGCCTAATCCTATATGTTTATGATGTTTAAAAAAAGGCCACTTAAAAATAAGTGCCAACTGAATAGGTGACTCTTGAGTTTGATGCATATAATGATGTGTAATTTAAAAAACTTTATCAGAAATGCAATCAACTCAAAAGTCCCTTATCATTTAAATGTTGCTGGTCAACGTTTAAACAAATAATTAGAAGCACACCAAAGTCACATTTAAAACTCATGAAATTTTGGTGCCTTTTTTTTTTAGATGATTGGAGTTTAGACAAGTTAAAGCAGAATGTATGGCAAGAATATCTGTTTTGGCATTGTGTGATAGCGGTAGTTGAAGATCGTGTAGAAATCTCTTTTTTAATAAAATATGCCCATTATATTTGAAAATCTTAATTTTAGTAGTGTAAATGTATCGGTATTTCTAAGAAAAATTCGAAACACAATGAAGTCAGTTTTTAAGAAAAAAGACCTATCTATTGGTAAAGAGCAAGCCATAGGGATTGTTTTAAAAGATGTTGGTCCAATATGTAAAAAAGAGGGTATAAGTTTGGATTGGTTAGAAAATCCGGCTCCTATACCAAATCAAATCCATGTTACAAATGGTCTCATTGCTGAGTTAAGAAAATTAAAACTGCAACATAATATAATACACAAAACAGTTGCATTGTGGGTACAATTTTTATGTAATTTAAATTACACCCCCGACTCAGACGGGTTAAAACGTAACATCGAATTAGTAAACAAAAAGCTGTCAAAGTTTTCTTTAAATGATAGGCAAAATCTCAGTACCTACTTGAAAGAACAATATATCCCCTCAGAAAAGAAATACCCTATGTAATTTTGCCTCAAATGAAAAGAGGAATAGTTCTGACAAAGTTGACAATAAAAGGTTTCAAGAATACATCGATAACGCTTCTCTTAAGTTTGCCGAACAAAAAAGTATTATAACCGACCTGGAAAAAAAACTAGAAAAATCAAGACAACAGAAATTTAGTACAAACTTGAGGTTATTCAAAATTAGAAATGAACATAAAAAAGTAACAGCTAAATATACTGATAGTCTGTCCAAAATGTCTCTACTATCGACAAGAAATGTAAACAAAAGGCTGAAGCGTAAACAAACACGTATAACACAACTTACATCAGAAAAAAACAAACACGAAAAAGACATGAAATATTTAAAACAAAGAACGGAGAACTTAAAAAGAAAGTATAAAGGGCAATCAGCACTTCTGAGATATTACCGGAACAAAAACTTCAAAAAAGAAAAAAATAATGAAACTGTTGACACAATAAAAAAAATCAGGTATACGGATAGT